TGCGCTGAAAACATTAGCTTAAAACAAGGCTCCAGGAATTGATGGAATACCAGTTTCAACAAGCTCTTGAAGCACCAGGAACACTCAATTGTTTATGCAAAAAAATTGGAAGACCGTTACTTGGCCAATTGGCTGGAAGAGCTCTATATTTGTTCTCATTCCAAGGAAAGGTAACCTAACAGAATGCTCAAATTATACATCAATATATCACTGATATCACATGCAAAGTTGTGTAGTGTTTTATTTATCACTATGACAGGTTTCCCCACCTGTCATTTGGGAGAAATGATGTAGAAAAAGAGAAGACATCTACAAATGTTCTCATCTGAGTCCCGTGTAAGTGCTGTCTGTATTTCCTAATTTCCAGAACTATGATGAGACTGTGTTTCCATTAGATACCTGTACACGAGACGTTGACAAGCGCAGAATTTATTTGTAGTAAAATTAAAGGGTGTCTGTTTGTTCCTTTGTAATATCAAACAGAGCTTAACCTTTGCCCCTTTCCTCCAGACAGATCCTGGACTTTTGAGTACTGAATTGCATAAAATAAGTGTCCTAAGTTTTGGAATCCTTTGACATTCATCCACTGCCACTAGGAAATCATGTCACATTTAGTTCCCCAAACAGAACTCCATTCTGAGTCCTGGCTTACCAGGTCACATTGCCATTTAAAGCAATTGTTTTTTTGTTTTAATCATTTCATTGGAGGTTCATACAGCTCTTATCACAATCCACACATACATCCATTGTGTCAATCACATTTGTACATTTGTTGCATATTTTAGAAGCCTCCAGCCAGGATTCTCATGGAGGGAGGCCTTCACGCTTGTGGGGGTGGGGATGCATCCCAGTCACATTCTCCCAAGTGAAAGTTGTTCTCCACAACATCCCCCACCCCACTCCATAATAATGCCAATTTTAAGGTACTTCTTGCAAGCACATGGTTGCTACTATATACTCTTGCAAGTTCACTGTTTGAAGGCTACTTGCCTGGAGGTTGTCTGAGCAATCAGACCCTATCTGTCCCACCCTAAGGAGGGCCCACTCCTTCCTGATAAGGATCATAGCTTGTTCCCTGGAGAAGTGCTCAGGGACACATAAGGTCAAGCCAGATCAGAGATGACCAAGGCCAGGCTGCCATTTTAACCCTAGAACCTGCCCATCTTGTTACATATGCACCTTCCACATGTATGCCTCTAGTTATCTCCCCTTCCTATTATGTGTATAGCCCTAGCTCATCCCCCTCCTGTTATGTGTTTGCCTCTAATACAACCCCTTCCTGTTATGTATGTGCTTACCGTGGCTTGCATGCCTGAGATTATATAAGTCTGTGAGAGACTACACGACTCCCTCACTCTGGTTCCGGTAACCACGGAAGAGGTGAGCCCTTGCATATCTTGTCTTGTTTTCCTTTAATTTGTCCTTCAATTACACAACCACCCCTTGAACCCATTTGGTTGTGGCGGCTGGTCCCCCACAGTGGTCCCATGTTCAGAGACGCTGTGTCGACCAAATAGTAATGTCCCATCTTTCACACTCCCCCATAAGAAGTTGGCTTTTTCACTGATGAATAAAGTGCAAGCTGTAAGATTTGGGGAGTCTATATAACAATGGGCTCAAACCTAAGAGACATTGTGAGGCTGGCTCAGGACTGGGCAGTGTTTTGCTCAATTGTTCACAGGCTCCCTATGAGTCAGAATCGACTCAATGGCACCTACCAACAACTGAACACTACAGAGCGCAAATGCTTTGTGCTTGACTATTGTGCACCTATTGTTGATTGGCGCTTCAAACTCACCCAGCAATGCTACAGAAGAAAAGCATTGTGCTGCTGTAAAGATTACAGCTAAGACAACCCTATGGAGCCCCGTTTTACCCTGTGAAACATGAGGTCATCACGAGTAGGGATTGACTCGCTGGCAGTGGCTGGTAACCCTCCATGTATTTTGGCTCCGGTATGAGGGTAATGGTTATAATCTTCAGCTCAGCTGAGGAAATATACACACACCTTTTCCTGCAGCTCCTTTTGAAAATTCTCATCTTGTGCTTTCTGTAAGATCTTGGGGTCAACCAAAGGCTCGTCTGCTCTTTGCTTTTTCCACAACTTGGTGTTCAGATACCATGCTCCATATCTCATCTTCACCCACTCTCGTTTATAAGGATTCTGTAGGAAACAACAGGATCCCCAATGATGTTAGTTCTATGGGTTTATCATTTGGTTTATCATTTAGCTTATGAAAATTATATCATTACTTTGAATTTGTTGGTCCTTAGCAAAGTACTTAATGAAGTTTCAGTATGTTCTGATTTACAAAGGTAAAATGAAAGGTTTATGATTGAGAAAATACTATAGTGCTTTAAATAGCATGGTCATATCTATAAGAGCACTCAATAAAATGGTTAAATTTGAAAAAATATTAAAAAGTATGGCTTTCAATTTAAGCTAAGGCTAGGTTCACATCAGATTCCACAATTCAGAAGTTAGGAATTAATGGACAATTGGCATCATTGTTCAGCTTCAAAATGGAAATAATTATATTATTCATCCTATAGCTTGGATGTGAAGATTAAAGGAATGTATTTTTTAAATATAGAAATCATAGAAAAATCATATATTCACCCAATGGTAATGATATCATACAACATTCAATCATCCAAGACAATAAATTATGAAACAGTATGAGCCCATTACTGTGCTGTCTTATAAATGCAACATTATTTTTGATTTAAATCCCATTCCAACACTAATCTCTGTTCCTTTTAATTAGAAGAGAGATAAAGGAAGAGTAATAGAATACACACTTCTTTCATTCTTCAGTAGGACAGCCAGGCTGTAAAGAGAATCTCACATTGGCTCATAGTCTGACCCTGGGTACGATGCTCACACACTGTCTTGTCAAAAAGAAAGAAGTGTGTAGTTTTCTTTGGACAAATCTTTTGTTTCTGTAGTTAAGTATTTCATTTTTTGTGTGGCTATGGTAAAATGGTACTATGAGGAACCAAAAGAGGCCTACATAAATAGAAGAATATTCCATGCCTATGGATAGGAAAGGTAAATGTTATGAAAATGTCCATACTGCCCAAAGCAATCTACAAATACAACATAATTCTTATCCTGAACCCAATTCCATTCTTTAAAGAAATAGAAAAATGAATTGCTAATTTTACTTGGAGATGAAAGAAACCCAGGATAATCAAAGAACTTTCCTTTTTTTTAAATCATTTTATTGGGGGCTCGTACAACTCTTATCACAATCCATACACACATTCATTGTGTGGAGCACATTTGTACATATGTTGCCATCATCATTCTCAAAACATTTGCTATCTACTTGAGCCCTTGGTATCAGCCTATTTCCCTCCTTCCCCACCCTCCCTCCTTCATGAACCCTTGACAATTTATAATTTTTTTTCCATGTCTTACACTGACGTCTCTCTTCATCCACTTTTCTGTTGTCTGTCCTCCTGGGAGGGGGTTATAGGTAGATCATTGTGATTAATTCCCCAGCATAGAACTTCTTAAGAAGAACCAAATAAGAGGCCTCTTACTACCTGACCTCATCATAGTCACAGTAGTCCAAACACCTGGTACTGGTACAATGATAGGTTCCTAGATAAATGGAGCAGAATAGAAAACCCAGACCCAGAAACATATTCTTCCACCTATAGACAACTGATGGTTGAAAAGGGACCAAAAACCACTCAACGGAAAAGAGACGGTCTCTTCAACAAATAATGCTGGCAAATTGGGATCTCCATCCACAGAAGAATGAAACAGGGCCCACACCTCACTCCATGCACAAAAATAAACTCAGGATGGATCGAAGATGTAAGTGTAAATTCCTGAGCTATAAAGAGTATCAGTTAAAAAAAATAGGGACAGACTTAAGGGCTCTATTGTAGGGCACAGACAAACTATGAAAAATAATTAAAGAAGCATATACAGTAGACTATAAGATCAGGGACAGGGACCTACTAAAAATGGGACACTTAAGTGAAGCAAAAGAGATCCCACAATGACACAACAAAGGACTAATCTCTAAAATCTATAGAAAACTGCAATGTGGGAAACAGAAAGATTGCTCCCAAGTTGTCTCCCCCAAATATATGCCAAACTTAGAAGCTTGCTACGCGTGGCAAATGACTATACAATTAGAAGTAGGTCCGGGGCTATTCTCCCTAAGGGTTATCAGCTATCTAGAGCAAGCAGTCACCACTGTTTATCCCACAGCAAGTAGGATCCAGTCCCTTCTGATATGGATAGTAGTTGACTGTTTCCTTGTAGTAGACCCCAGAGAGGTCAAGCTCTCCCAAGGGTGGCCAAGGTTAAGCCACCATCATGAATCTAGGGTCTGCCCTTCTTGTCACATGTATACCCCTAGTCCCTCCCCTTCCTATCATGTGTGCACCCCTAGTTCATCCCCTTCCTGTCACACATGCCTATTGTACAGCCTTTTCATATGATGTGTATGCCTATTGTACATCCCCTTCCTATGATGCATATGCCTATTGTGCTGCCACTTCCTGTGACGTGTGGTTACCTGTAATCACGACCCCCTAAGTTGATATAACCCTTGGTCAGCAATAAATGGGGTCTCCAGCCTCCTGCCGAGTCTCCACCCTACCTCGCCTCCCTCATGCTGTGCACGGGCCTGGCTGGTAAGATCATTGCCATCCAGGAGGTGAGCATGCTAATATGAAATGTGTCTGGCTCCATTATTTCAATCTCTCTTCTATCTCTCACGCTCTCTATGACTATATTATAATATATATATATATATATATCTCAACCATACAATTGCACTTACCGAACCCATGATTAGTTGTGGGGGGCTGGCCCTTCCCCCCACACTGAAATACCTCAATAAGATTTTTTAAAAAAATCTAATTAAAAAGTTGGTCAAAGACATGAACAGACAGTTCACCAAAGACGACATCCAAGTGGCTGACAAACATGAACAATGCTCAGGATCCCTAGCCACCCAGGAGATACCACCTTATAGTGACAATGACACCTTAAAAATAAATAACAAAACAACAAATGCGGGAGAGGATGTGGAGAGGTTGGAACTCTCGTAGCTGCTGGTGGGGCTATAAATATATGCACCTGTTGCGGAATGTCAAATGGCACTACGTCAAACAACTGGGAGCAGAAATTCCACAGAGACAGCATCTCTCTGCTGAGTATATATCCGAAGGAAGAGCCCTAACACCAACAGACACATGCACTCCCATGTTCACTGCAGCACTGTTCTCACTAGCCACAAGTTGGAAACAGCCCAAATGCCTATCAGTAGAAGAATGGATACAGTAAGTTTTGTACACACACACAATGGAACACTGTTCACCACTAAAAAACAATGATGATATCATGAAGTACCTGATGACATGGATGGACCTGGAGAATGTTATATTGGGGGAGGTCAGCCATCACAAAAGGACATATGTATGAGACCGCTACTGTAAAGATAAAAAGAGTCTAAGACCTGCAGACCAAAAGGGAGGGAGGGGGTGGGGGGACATGCTCTAGAGAAAATGAGAAGGTCAGAATGCTCTGAGGAGGGTTAGCTCTCGGATCTACTTGTCCCATTATGTCTGATCTAAAAAAGTGTATCTGGATGGACGCTAGGATGGCCCAAACATACCACTGCAGAGAGAATAAAACAAGCAAAGCTAAGGTAGTTTTAAAGAACAGATGATATCAGGCCTGAGAGTATGTAAGAGAACTCCAACTTCTGGCAAGGGGACTAGTTCTACCCTCTCACCACCACCACCAAACAAATAAAAAATACCTATTATTAGGTACCGTCGAGTCAGTTCTGACTCACAGCAACCATATGTACAACAGAATGTAACACAGCTCATTAGGCAACATTCTGACCATCACTGTTATTTTTGAACCCATTGGTACAGCTCTGGGTTCATCCATTTCATTGAAGATCTTCCTTTTTTTTGCTGACCCTCCACTTTATCAAGTATGATGACCTCCTTCAGAAACTGGTCTTTCCTGATAACACGTCCAAAGTATGAGATAGGAAGTCTTCACCATCGCCCCACACCAAGGAGCATTTCACCGACACTTCTTCCAAAACAGATTTGTTCATTCTTTGGACAGTCTGTCGTATATCCAGTATTCTTCACAAACCACATAATTCAAATGCATCAGTTCTGCTTTGCTCTCCCTTATCACGGCCCAGCTTCGGCATGTATAGGAAGGCCCTCAACTGTATGGCCGGATCAATACCAGGCTGGCTTCTAACAGCAAGTGACCTTGAGTCTTCCCCACCCATGTGGAGATGACCAGAGCTAGCTTAAACAACTAGCAGCAAGTGACCTTGAATCTCCCACACACATCTGCAGAGCTGATCAGAGCTGGCTAATGGCCCCCTTTGTTCTCAACCTGCCGCTCTGCTCCGGGTACCAGCACAGCCTATTTGGCTCAGTGCCCACTTTGCTCTCGACCCTCCACTCTGCACCCAGCATGGCCCGTTTGGCTCAGTGCCCACTTTGTTCTTTCCCACCACTCTGCACCCGGCACAAATACACCCGGAACAAGGAAGACACCTTACATTCCAGAAACCCTGGAGATACCTGTCCATATAAGCAGCAGCCCTGTAGCCTGCAATGTGACTCCCCCAGCCCAGACGTTGTGGACTGTGGGACTTCGCCCAGGCTGAGTTTTTCTCCCTAATAAAGCCTGTTTGTTCTAATTCGACTGATTTGGTCTCTGGCACCTCTCGACTACCTTACATCAACGAGTTAGATTAACCTTGTAACTGTTTCAATGGAACAATTGTGAGGATAGTGCAGACCGGGCAATGTTTTGTTCTGCTGTTCGTAGTGTTGGAACCAACACGATGGCACCTAACAACAACAACATGAAGCCATTGAAAATACCATAGCTGAGTCCTGAGTGCCTGAGTCCTCAAGAAGACAACCTGGCTTTGTCGCACTTTAAAGAGGCCTATTCATGACTGCTGAAGAAAAATGTGAACATAAGCAAATGTGGTGCAGAAAGCTGATGGTGCCCAGCTATCAAAAGATTTAGTGTCTGGGGTCTTAAAGATTTGAAGATAAACAAGTGGCCATCTAGCTGAGAAGCAACAAAGCCCACATGAAAGAAGCACACCAGCCTGTGTGACCACGAGGTGTCGAAGAGATCAG